AAAATACGTCTTTCCCTTCACGTATCAATTCAAATTACAATGCAATGAATCAGTATAATATCTAATGAAGTTTTATCATTTTCTTTCTCCCTTCTCTACCCCTCACCAAAGAGAAGAGGACACCAAAAAGCAAAATATGTTTTCCTTTCATACGTCAGTTCAAATTACAATGCAGTGAATGGGTACAATTGCTAATAAAGTTCTATCATTTTCTTTATTCCTTCCCTACCCCTCACCCTTCCACTAAGTCAAAATGATAAGAGGGGCCAATTTTTGGGGTAACTAACAAGCACATATTGAAAGCACTGCGTGCAAAACACAGGTAAAAATATCCTAAGCCATTTTATTCTGGGATGTAAGAAGGGATGGGGTACCTTTTTGAGCTTCCCAAATGCAAGCATTAGCGCATTATATGAATGAATATCCGGTGTCAATCCAAAACTGGATCCAATTGCTTCAAAAGTTTGGTATGCACGATCAAGGTCCCATATGTTTGCACACCCTAAAATGATGCAGTTTAGAGCAGCAACAGATGTATAAGGAGTCTCTGATCGGCTCAAACTTTCCAGTTGAAAATAAACCTGAATTACATGGATGTAATAACCTTAGATGACACTGCAGGTGAATATGTCATTCTAATATAATAAGTAGATTACATGTAGCAGCCAACTGAATCTAAGAAGGGTGCAGACTATGTTTCAAAAAGATGAGTATAAGTGTGATTGCAATAAATTAAAATGAAATTTTCTTTGAATATCATATACTTCGTATTATCAAAGAAAGAAAGCTACAGCACAATACGTTACCAACAAAAAGAAAAAGCAATAACCAGTAAATCACGATAAGAATGAAATGAAAATAAATCATGAAGTTTACGTATTACTGAACCAAGAGAAAAACATACAGAATCCAAACTCTCAAATCCCTTCTTGGAGCATGCCACAACCAATGGATGTAAAGAAGTAAAGGGAGAGAACATTTCTTCAACTTCTTGACTGGAATCTCCATAAGCAACTCAAAGTCATGTAGCGTACTAAAAGCCCTTTGTAAGTTCCCCATTGATGCAAGGGCATTTATCTTTCCGAGATAAGATTCAGGGTTAGGAGCCTTTCTTTGACGCAATGTGCGACGTAAAATTGTCCATGCTGCATCTAGCAGACTAGAACTATAGGTCCTACCTGCGGTGGCTAGGGCTGACACAATTAAACCTTCATCTACAGAAAGCAATGCAGCCAGTCTTGCGAGCTCACCCCTTGCAATCCACATAGCCATAAACTCCAGGGCATAATAAGCTAGCTTGCTATTATCCTGCTGCATTGCAGTTTCAGCTATTAAGTAGCACACGTTCCACGGAGGGCAAAGAGCTTTGTTCTGATCCATTGTCTGGAAACAGCAAGAACACCATTACATAAAAATTACAAACTTTTTAATAGATCGAAGAAAACAAATATATATAAAGATAGCTTAAAAAATGATTACTTACCTTGCACTTTTCAATTATTGCTGCCAAAGTATCTAGCCTACCCTTACTGATACAACTATTTACACAACTTGTAAACACATTCATTGACAGCATATAACTTGATTTCAAAGCCAAATCTATATATTTCAATGCAGCATCAATTTGGCCAGTCAGAAACAGCATTCCAATGACCAAGTCATATGATTCATTATCAGGGCGAGATTCATTTCCAGTCAGCAGCATCCTGACAATGACAGAAAATTTTTATGCATTACCAAAATAAAAAATTTAAAAAAAAAAAAATCCAACATGTTTGTTCAGCATATGCACATTAAAGTAATAATTGCATTCGTGATGAGAGGAGGAAACATTAAAAACATGGAGCAAGTTTATATTTGCACGATCATCAAACATAGTGTATAAGGAATGGAAATGTTGCGGAGAAATAACAATACCTAAGCCAAATCTAATTATTAATGATATGTCAGCCCTCTCCCCCACTGAGTCACATTCATTTCGAGCATGTTCGTAGGGATGTCAACATATGCTAGAATCAAATCACTGCTTAAATAGGTCTTGCTTAAGTGTAAGAAAAATTTCCGCTGTCAAAATGTATGCACTACTTTTCTTTCGCTTGCCCCACAGCAATAAGAAGTGAATGTTCAGTAATGCTGGAGAATATCTACGCTCTTACCGGTCACTGGATAGAGCAATCGTTTCTCATCTAATGTACTGCTGCCCACAGGTCGTAAAGGTTCTGTTTTTAAATTTACAGACAACTGTTTGTTTTAAAACTACAATCTGAAACTACTACTTCTAATAGTAGAAAATTAAGTTGGAGAGTAAGACCAGACGCAAAGTCATAGAAAACCACGTCTTCGATTACTTCTTATCTATACAAGCATCCTAGCGTTAGATAAATACATGACAAATTTACATGCACCCGTCGTCATCTGCGAAATTCAACAAGAAGATTTATCAGCTAACCGTTCCAGTAACTTCTGAGCAGCTTCAGTCTCCCTGGCGTGGTACATTGCTTTAAGCACCAAATTGAACGAAGCGGTAGGTATTAGGTGTGATACCAAAATCCTCCATTCCAGCTAACAAATCAAGTAGCTCCCCAGCAGAAGAAGAACCAATCATCAAGTTCGCTCTCAGATAATGTTATACAAATTCACATCGGGCTTATTCGGCTTCCCACTCTTGCCCAATGACTTGACCCAAGACTCGAACAACTCTTTGATAGCAGCCCATTCCTGAGAGGCCACCCAAGCAGAAAACTGATCCATCAAGCTCTTAACATCAAATGTCTGAGCCATTGTTTGAATGCGATGACGGGTACTAGATTAAGAAACCCAAGTGGGATCACTGACTGTGTTGAAGATGGTGGATTTGGGTTGCGCCAATTCTCATTGTAGAGAGGACTACCGGAGGCAGGGTTGGGAGGAAGCGGAGTTGGGGCGGCCGGTGCCGGAGATTCGGCGAGTTGAGGCTCCTGAGAGACGAAAGGGAAAGTGGTAATCGTCTTCACAGATGTATTAGCGCAGTTAGAGTGAAGTGTTTTGATCAGAGAGCGCGTCCGAGCAATGATCGCCATTTGCGACGCCATTGATTGAGCTTCGATGGTGCTTAGGGTTTTCTGCTTCAGTCCAGCTCGGAACCCCCACAGTTCATTATTTTTGGAATGCGAAGAACAGGGGCGATATGGTAGTTTCGCTAACTCACGTTAAATATGGGAAATTTTTGAGGTAATTGATATATTAATTAATATGTCCTATTGGGCCGAGGAGTATACGGTAAAGGTCCAGCTTCGTGCTAAATGTACGATTGGAACACTTTGCAGAAAAAGGTCAGATCCAATAGGCAGCCCATTTAGTTCCCAAAAAACTCTAGAGGGAGACAATTTTTTGCAGCAGCGAGTTGATATGTTTAGCCTGCCTTGCCCCATTCATTAAAAAAAAGGGGGGGGCTTATTATTCTGATGGAGCCTAAAAATTATCCTATAAAAAGATTTTTCACAAGGAAAAATGACCCTTGTTTAAGCTAATGATTTTTATAAATACATTAAATGTTAATGAGTTTATAAATTAGCTTTTGATCCCACATGTAAGATGGAGCCAGGACAATTACGTTTCATAGCTTATCTGAATTTTCTCCTTTTCCCCTTCTTCATACAAAAATGGCAATGTGAAAAATTTGAAAGATGCCTTTCAAAAAAAAAAGGAGCTACTTTTTGATTCCTACATGAATTATGAAAAAATTGCAAAAAAGATTTTAATTATCTTATAGTATAATGGTAGAGAGATAAAAATATACTTCTTTGATTTTAATACAAAACTTAGTTCTTGGAAAAAAAAAAAAAAAACAAAACTTTGTTAAGAATTCACTGAGATTAAAAAAAATTAATTAAGTTAATTATTTGTTATTATTGTATAATTAAACATATGTAATTTTTTCTTTAAAAAACTCCACAAAGAGAACAAGAGCATCATATGTGGGAGATGAAAAAAAAAAGGAAAATTATTTTCCAAGTGCATATATCTTTTCTCAATTTTTAATTGATACCCATGTCTTTTTTACTTAATTAAATCATTTAATTTTGTTATGTTAGTACTACTAGTTTAAACTTTGCTCTATTAACACTATTGGCCCCAGTACAACACAGAAGCTAATGACGCTAACAAGCCAAAATTAAAAGGATTCAATAAAAAAACATATATATAACAAATTAAAAATTAAGAGAAAATACAAGCATCTGCAAAATATTTTTTTCATATATTTTTTATACATATATGTTTTTTTCATATAGATTAAAGTTTAAGATGGAAGGAAATATATAATATGGGGTGGTCCAATTATTCTCTTTCTTGGTGGGGGTATCAAAACACTTTGGAAACACAGATAAAAAAGTGATAATAAAGCTACCACAGAATGTGATGCACAGCCAGATTTGCCTTGTTTTGTCTATGTGACCCCTCTTGTCAAAAGGCCAAAAATTCGTTATTCCTTCAAAAGTTCTTAAAAGTTAACAAAATGTGTCTCATTTTTTTGAGTCTTGTTTCTCATCATTGCTCATAACCATCGATTCACGTTATGAAAGATTAACAAAAAGTAATATCGATCAGTCTAAGACATTTTATGATCAGCACTCACTATGATAATTTAAACTACAAAAAAAAAAAAGGTTACCAAAATCGATTTGGTTGCTTGTGCCACGTGTCCTTTTTTTGTGGGTATTAGGTTTGATCCTTATCTTACTTTTAATTGGTGCGGCGGCAACATAACTCCTGTACATGTTGGATTTTTAAATATGAACCCATATTTGATAGGATGCTTTTCTAAATATATTTGAGAAATTTTCTTTCTAAATACTACCGTATCTTAAAGAAGGGATTTTTTTTTTTTGCCAAAACAAAGAAGGAATTTAATCATTCAATGAGTAGTATATAATGACGAATTCTGGTGTGAAAAATAACAATATAATTTATTGCTTATTTATTATTAGAATTTTTGGTAATTAAATATTTGTAATTCTCTTCTTTTTTTCTCTTATTATTTGTTTATCTAATACTCCTTCTAGTTAGCTTTGCAGCTTATATCCTTTTGGGTCTTAATGTATGCAAAGTAGTTAATAAATGTTTATAATAAATATTAGGAGTATTAAGATGTTCCCTTTTTTTTTGGGTCAAGGAGCTCTAGTGTTATCACTAACAAATAATGGGGCGGAATAATTAGTAAGAATATATAATTGGTGTTATTACTTAATTTAAAGTATGGTATGAATGTATCATTCATGTGAGGATATTGTTAATAGGTGGTTGATAAATATACTCCGATCTTAATATAGACCCTGTTGACTTTTATTTTAGTCCTAAATATAAGATCTCAATCCACTTGTTCTTATATTTACTAATTTTTTTTCAAAAATAGTTCCTAATAATTATAGTTCTAGTTAAATTCTTGATTAGCAAGGATATTTTAGGAAAAACAACATCTATTGAAGACAAATAACTAACTCAAATTACTTCCTTAATCTCTCAAATAGTCAAGTGGCTTTATAATTAGGACCGGAGATAGTACTTCTCTAAACATTAACTTATGAGACTTGCGCAAATCCTAAGTTCTTTAACTTGAAGCATTTTAGTCAAAAAAATTTGTATAAAACAAACAGATCTAATTTTTTGTGGTAAAGTATTGTCGAAAACAACTCATCCAAACATAAATAATCAGAGTTGTTAGAACCAAATTGGGTCGCCTTATTAGGAATCAACCTAAGTTTGATCCAAACACCTGCCATGTTTGGGGAAAAGTAAACTGCTCAAAATTGATAGAAAACCAGGCAGAACCAATTTTCTTTCTTTCTTTTTTTAAAAAAGGAAATTAGTAACTGAAAACTATGTCACTTTGTGTTTTTTTTGTCTTTGGTGGGTTTTTCTTTAGGGAAAATCCCAATAACATGATAGTTGAATTTGTAACTTCTCAAAATGATCACTTAAATTTGCAAAATTTCAAATGAATTATATGATCAAATTGAAATTTTGAAATGTTGGTCAATTTATAATATTTTTCATTTAAAAAAAAAACTCAAGTCACCCCACCAGCTGATTGGTCGCCGAAACTCAGTGCTCACTGGCGCTGGAGGTCAGGTGGTCTCTAGTCATCGAGCTCTAACAACTATTTATTGCATTCTGGGAAGGAGACATTCCTTATCGGCTAGTCGTCAGAGCTCTAATGATCAGAGGTTACTTGGCGTCGACAGCTGGTACTTGAATTTTAAAATGTCAAAAAGGTGATGTTAAGATGTCAAAACTTTTACAAAAATATTTAACATCACCTTTTTAGAAATTTAAAATTAAGTGGTATTTTTGAGTTTTTTTTTTTCCAACTTCAAATTAAATTATGTTCTCACAAGCCTGTGTGTGTATTTGGACTTCCCTGTTACCTCATACAAAGTTGTCCCGGAAAAGAAATACTTGAATGGGAAATAATTCAACTAGAGTTTCAATTTGTGATAAAATATTTGAGAAATTAAAAAGACCTTATGTTTGTTTCATTAATCATAGAATAAACAGGTAATTTATTCCCATAAATTATATCTCAGTTGGATTTTTCGCGTCTTTGTTATCGTGCTTCCATGCACTCATTAAAATCAGTGGCTTGGCGCTTAAAATTTGCATGTTGAAAATTATCGTGATCTTGAGATCTTTCCAATTTATAGTTGGTCAACACTATTTTTTAAATATGAAGAAAATTAATAATAGTCAAGGAATTGGATTCCCTGCCCATCGCAGAAGATGGGAGGGAGACCATCTCACAGTGGGCAAGTTAGATTAAAATTTCATGGTTTTAATTTACTATATGTGCAATTTCAATTTTTTCCAGGTGCATATTTATTTTTTTAAAAATCATAAAAAAAAAAGTATACTACTTCATGACCGCAAAACACCATAATTAACTATCCTTAAAGTTCATTGATAAGTGAAGATTAAGCAATGACAAGTTTTAGAATTAAAAATGACAACAGGTTCATGTTGATCACTTGTTATTGGAATGTCTTGGCAGGGTTTTTAATCATGGGATTAATTTCCAATAGAAACAATTAAATATTTATTTAAATCAACACATATTATATAAATACTAAATTAATTAATTTTTTAATTTTATAAATTAGGCATCTATGTTATTAGATCTGGGATGAGAGAGGAAGTGTTAACAAATGAATCATAAAAAAGTAAACTTCTTTTTTTTAAAGAAAAATTACTCCTATGTTAGTATTAGCGATGTTGTTACTATACTTTGAACTTATTTAAAATAGCATTTAAAAACACTTATAAATATGTCTTATACAAATGGAGATAAAATTTTTCTTAGATACATATTTAACAAATTACTCATAAACTATTTAAAACAGGTCCCTTTTTACTTTTTTGTGAGCCTTTAAAAGATCCGCATTCACAAAACAGTATAAAGAGATGGAGGAGACGTACAGGACCTTCTAATGTAGGGCACAAGGACCCACAAAAGCCGCTGATCCTTCATTCCCCTCAATCGTCATTTGCTAACCCAAAGCAGGTTCAACGTCGAGCACTCAAAAAGTTTGCCGTGTTTGAAAATGACATCACCACATAATTCAATACTACCTCGTTGATATTTATTTTAATATTAAATATAAGATTATAATTTATTTTATCTCTCATATTATTTTTTTTAAAAGATTTACTAATAATAGTAGTTTTAATTAATAATTTGATTAATAGAGATATTTTTAAAAAAAATAGCACTTATTTATTACAAAAACTAATTTAAACTTTTTCTATTTTAGAGAAGAAAAACACGTATTTATTATAAATAACTAATTTAATTTTTTTACTATTTATTTAAATTAGTCAACTAGCTCTAATATTCAAGACTTGATTTAGTGTTAATAGGAAAATACCTATATTAAAAAAAAGTATACATATATATACACTATCACCAAATACATGTTTAAAAATATATTTTGATGTTTGCGAAAGCGACACAGTAGGTTGGGTGAATGAGAAATTTTCTTCCCAAAATTTCTCAATATCCGTGAAGAGAGGTGGGAGGAAGATGTGGTAGCTTTCCCCT